AGGAAAGAAGGAAGGGAATGAATGAAAGGAATGAAGGAAAGAAAGGAAGGAAAGAGAGAGAAAGGAAGGGGGGAGGGAGGGGGGGGGAGGAAAAAAGGTCTGAGGGAGAGACGAAGGAAGGAAGGAAAGGAAGACAAGAAAGACCTTGAAATCATTGACGGAAAGCCACATACTGTAAAAAGCATCATGGCGGGACCAAAGTTTTGAAGGATGAGCTAACTTTTCCGCAAACGTTTTCCAGCCGTTCCCTCCCCGTCCTGTCCCGCTCGCTCGCTAGGCTCCTCTTCCTTTCCTTTGGCAGAACTAACAATCCAAGTCAAACTCCCTCCGGGTCGCCTTTGGCAGGCAGGCAGGCTGACCCCCATCCCCGCACCCACCCACCCCAGCTGAGAGCAGAGAGCTGGCGATCCAGCGGGTGGCTCCGCTTAGGCCCCCACTTTCCCCCATTCCAGACTTGCCGCAGGCATTTCTGCCGGGGGGGGGGGGGGGGGGGCTTGATTAAAAACCACCCCCTTTTCCGCCCTTCCAGGGAAGCCGCTCACCTCGTTCCTCTGCAGCTGGAGGAAGCTGTTTAGGTAGCTGGAGTTGAGCGAGGAGGTGCCCAGCTCGGCGCTGCCCTTGGCGGGGTAGCTGAGCTCCGGGTGCTGCGCGGAGGAAGACTCCGGCCGAAAGGCGTCGAAGGCGCTGGCCTGGTGGGTGTCTTGCAAGGAGAGGTAGACCCAGTTGAGCAGCTGGGCCGGCTGGTAGACGGAGGCGGCGGTGGTCTCGATGGCTGACAAGAGGCTCATCCTTGCCCCGCGTCGAAGGGCCCGCGGGCCGGCGGGACCCCTCCCCTCTCCTTCTTCCTCCTCTTCTTCTTCCTCCTCCTCCTCCTCCTCAAGCCCCTGGCTCTCGCTCGGCTGGCTCCCCCTCTTCTTCTCCCGGGGGGGCGTCTTCTTCCTCCCCTCGGGGACCCAGCTCCAGGCAAAGAGGGAAGGAAGGCGGGGAAACGCCGCTCGGCTGCCCGGCGCCCTCGAGCCTCTGCCCGGCCCCGTCGCAGCTCTGCCTAAAGCGCCGCGGGACCCCCCAGCCGCGGCGCCCCGCTCGCCCCCGGCATAGCTGCGCACCGACTCGGGCTGCTCCCGCCGCGGCAATGGCAGCAGTCAGCGGAGTTCTTTGCAGGCGCTTTGCCTCCTCCTCCTCCTCCTCCTCCTCTTCTCCTCTTGCCCCTCTCCGGCCCTCCAGCTCTCCTGGCCGAGCCCGGTCCGCTATCTGGCTTTATCCGCACTCTCTCCTTCTTCTCCGGGGCGGAGGGAAGGGCTCCCGCACTTCTTCAGCACCACCTCGTCTGCAATAGGAATCGCTGGGAGTGAGGTGGGGGGAGGACGGGTCCGAGCGGGGAAGGGGAGGGCCGGGAGAAGGAAGGCGATTGGTGGCTGAAAGTTCCGGGCTTCGGAAAACTTTGAACGTTGGGGAAGAGGTGGACCAATCGGAAGAGTGCTGAGCGCCTTGCTTTCCCTTTGGTTCTCCCCCCCCACACACTCACTCGCCCCCTCCCCAGGGGGGAAAAAACAACGTAGACGCCTCTTCTACAGGATGCAACCCTTGCCTGGCTTGGCTTAAACCGGGGTTTGGATTCTGCAGAACTTCGAGAAGGACTTTCTTGGGTTCAAAAGTGTGTGCTTTGGACCAGCGGTCAACAACTGGTGGTCCGTGAGAAAATTGTGGGGGTCCACAGAAAAAGTACTCACATTTTTTTAATATTGCACTAAATCAGGGGTCCTCAAACTACGCCCCCTGGCACAGATATGTGCAATGAACGCTCTCCCTCTCTCTCCCCCCCCCCTCTGGGTCTATTTATGTGGGCCGGAGGGGGGGCAGAAATTATGATTTGGAATCTGCTTCAGCCTCCTGGTGCAGGACTTAGGGCAAAGGCTGGAGGGAAGCACTGCTGGTGGCGAAGAGCCCGAGGGCCTTGTTCCAGTGGGACTGCATCATGACCTGGAACTGGCTGACCATCTCAGCCCGCTGAGCTTCCAGGGGCAGGTACCTGGCCTTGCACTCCCACA